ATGTATATTGTATCTTCTATGTATATTGTATCTACTATGTATATTTTATCTATGTATATTGTATCTATTATGTATATATTGTATCTACTATGTATATTGTATCTACTATGTATATTTTATCTACTATGTATATTGTATCTACTATGTATATTGTATCTACTATGTATATTGTATCTNTGTATCTACTATGTATATTGTATCTATTATGTATATTGATCTACTATGTATTTTGTATCTACTATGTATATTGTATCTACTATGTATATTTTATCTACTTTGTATATTGTATCTACTATGTATATTGTAGATACAATATACATAGATACAATATATACATAGGAGATACAATAAACATAGTAGATACAATATCCCTAGTAGATACAATATACATAGTAGATAAAATATTCATAGTAGATACAATATACCTAGTAGATACAATATACTATGTTTATTGTATCTACTATGTATATATTGTATCTATGTATATTGTATCTACAATATACATAGTAGATACAATATACATAGCAGATAAAATATACATAGTAGATACAATATCCATAGTAATTACAATATACAGGTAGATACAATATACAGGTAGATATAATATACATAGTAGATACAATATACATAGCAGATAAAATATACATAGTAGATACAATATTCCTAGTAGATACAATATACAGGTAGATACAATATACATAGTAGATAAAATATTCATAGTAGATACAATATACCTAGTAGATACAATATACTATGTTTATTGTATCTACTATGTATATATTGTATCTATGTATATTGTATCTACTATGTATATTGTAGATACAATATACATAGATACAATATATACATAGTAGATACAATAAACACAGTAGATACAATATACCTAGTAGATACAATATACTATGTTTATTGTATCTACTATGTATATATTGTATCTACTATGTATATTGTATCACCTGTATATTGTATCTACCTGTATATTGTAATTACTATGGATATTGTATCTACTATGTATATTTTATCTACTTTGTATATTGTATCTACTATGTATATTGTATCTTCTATGTATATTGTATCTACTATGTATATTGTATCTATCATGTATATTGATCTACTATGTATTTTGTATCTACTATGTATATTTTATCTACTATGTATATTGTATCTACTAGGTATATTGTATCTACTATGTTTATTGTATCTACTATGTATATATTGTATCTATGTATATTGTATCTACTATGTATATTGTATCTACTATGTATATTGTATCTACTATGTATATTTTATCTACTAAGTATATTGTTTTTGTATTGACCTGTGTGTACTGTTGCAATACAACATATACATCTGAAATAAATTCAATTCACTTGTTACAGATTCAGCCATGGTGAAGATTTTTGGTATAGAGTTTGCTCCCCTGAGAGTTCCGTTTAAGCGGCGTATAGAGACCCTGGCTGTGGCCCAGTACACCCTATGTTTCCTGTTCCTGGGTTTCAGCTGTCTCTTCGCCAGTGTTTACATCCTCTTCTTCACACAGTACTACTATCTCCTGCTTTTATACCTTGTGTGGATGTATTACGACCGGGATATCGCAGAGCGTGGAGGTCGAAGGTCAGATTGGGTGAGGAGTTGGAGAATCTGGGAACATTTAAAGGACTATTTTCCAGCCAAATTAGTCAAAACAGCTGAATTAAACCCAGAAAAAAATTACATTTTAGGATTTCATCCTCACGGTATTATGAGTACAAGTGCTTTCGTCCATTTCGCCTCGGAAGGTTCTGGCTGGAGCAAAATGTTTCCTGGAATCACTTCATTCCTGTTAGTCCTCAAGGGTCACTTCATGTTTCCAGTGTACAGGGACTACTTAATGTTGTCAGGTAAGTGGTTACCCAGACAGGGACTACTTAATGTTGTCCGGTAAGTTGTTACCCAGACAGGGACTACTTAATGTTTTCAGGTAAGCTGTTAACTAGGCAGGGACTACTTATGTTGTCAGGTAAGTTGTTAACTAGGCAGGGACTACTTTATGTTGTCAGGTAAGTTAACTAGACAGGGACCAATTAATGTTGTCAGGTAAGCTGTTAACCAGATAGAGCCTACTTAATGTTGTCGGGTAAGTTGTTAACCAGGCATGGACTACTTAATGTTGTCAGGTAAGCTGTTAGGGACTACTTAATTTTTCACGTAAGCTGTTAACCAAACAGGGACTACTTAATGTTCAGGGACCAATTAATGTTGTCAGGTAAGCTGTTTACCAAACAGGGACTACTTAATGTTAACAGCTTACCTGAAAAATTAAGTAGTGCCTGTCTGGGTAACAACTTACAGGACAACATTAAGTAGTCCCTGTTTTGTTAACAGCTTACCTGACAACATTAGGTAGTCCCTGTTTGGTTAACAACTTACCTGACAACATTAAAACATTAGGTAGTCCCTGTCTGGTTAACAACTTACCGGACAACATTAAGTAGTCCCTGCCTGGTTAACAACTTACCTGACAACATAAATAGTCCCTGCCTAGTTAACAGCTTACCTGAAAAATTAAGTAGTCCCTGTCCGGTAAGTTGTTACCCAGACAGGGACTACTTAATGTTGTCCGGTAAGTTGTTACCCAGACAGGGACTACTTAATTTTTCAGGTAAGCTGTTAACCAAACAGGGACTACTTAATGTTTTCAGGTAAGCTGTTAACTAGGCAGGGACTACTTATGTTGTCAGGTAAGTTGTTAACTAGGCAGGGACTACTTTATGTTGTCAGGTAAGTTGTTACCCAGACAGGGACTACTTAATGTTGTCAGGTAAGCTGTTAACCAGACAGGGACAACTTAATGTTGTCAGGTAAGTTGTTAACTAGGCAGGGACTACTTTATGTTGTCAGGTAAGTTGTTACCCAGACAGGGGCTACTTAATGTTGTCAGGTAAACTGTTAACCAAACAGGGACTACTTAATGTTTTCAGGTAAGCTGTTAACCAGACAGGGACAACTTAATGTTGTCAGGTAAGTAGTCCCTGCCTAGTTAACAACTTCCCTGACAACATTAAGTAGTCCCTGTTTGGTTGTCAGGTAAGCTGTTAACCAAACAGGGACTACTTAATGTTGTCAGTTAAGTTGTTAACTAGGCAGGGACTACTTAATGTTGTCGGGTAAGTTGTTAACCAGACAGGGACTACCTAATGTTGTCAAGTAAGTTGTTAACCAGACAGGGACTACTTAATGTTGTCGGGTAAGTTGATAACGAGACAGGGACTACTTAATGTTGTCAGTTAAGTTGTTAACCAGACAGGGACTACATCATGTTGTCAGGTAAGTTGTTAACTAGGCAGGGACTACATCATGTTTTCAGGTAGTTTGGTTAACAAACCGGGACTACTTAATGTTGTCAGGTAAGCTGTTAACCAAACAGGGACTACTTAATGTTGTCAGGTAGTTTGGTTAGCAGACAGGGACTACTTAATGTTGTAAGGTAAGCTGTTAACCAGACAGGGACTACTTAATATTGTCAGGTAAGTTGTTAACCAGACAGGAACTACATCATGTTTTCAGGTAGTTTGGTTACCAAACAGGGACTACTTAATGTTGTCAGGTAAGTTGTTAACCAGACAGGGACTACATCATGTTGTCAGGTAAGCTGTTAACCAAACAGGGACTACTTAATGTTGTAAGGTAAGCTGTTAACCAAACAGGGACTACTTAATGTTGTCAGGTAAGTTGTTAACCAGACAGGAACTACATCATGTTTTCAGGTAGTTTGGTTAACAAACAGGGACTACTTAATGTTGTCAGGTAAGCTGTTAACCAAACAGGGACTACTTAGTGTTGTCAGGTAGTTTGGTTAACAGACAGGGACTACTTAATGTTGTCAGGTAAGCTGTTAACCAAACAGGGACTACTTAATGTTGTCGGGTAAGCTGTTAACCAAACAGGGACTACTTAATGTTGTCAGGCAAGTTGTTAACCAGACAGGGACTACATCATGTTGTAAGGTAAGCTGTTAACCAGACAGGGACTACTTAATGTTTTCAGGTAAGCTGTTAACCAGACAGGGACTACATCATGTTGTAAGGTAAGTTGTTAACCAGACAGGGACTACTTAATGTTGTCAGGTAATTTGGTTAACAGACAGGGACTACTTAATGTTGTCAGGTAAGTTGTTAACCAGACAGGGACTACTTCATGTTGTCAGGTAAGCTGTTAACCAGACAGGGACTACTTCATTTTGTCAGGTACGCTGTTCCTCGCCAAAAGCCTACATCATGTTGTAAGGTAAGTTGTTAACCAGACAGGGACTACTTAATGTTGTCTGGTAGTTTGGTTAACAGACAGGGACTACTTGATGTTGTCAGGTAAGCTGTTGACCAAACAGGGACTACTTAATGTTGTCAGGTAAGCTGTTAACCAGATAGGGACTACTTAATGTTGTCAGGTAAGCTGTTTACCAAACAGGGACTACTTGATGTTGTCAGGTAAGCTGTTGACCAAACAGGGACTACTTAATGTTGTCAGGTAAGTTGTTAACCAAACAGGGACTACTTAATGTTGTCAGGTAAGCTGTTAACCAGACAGGGACTACTTAATGTTGTCAGGTAAGCTGTTTACCAAACAGGGACTACTTAATGTTGTTGGGTAAGCTGTTAACCAAACAGGGACTACCTAATGTTGTCAGGTAAGCTGTTAACTAGACAGAGTTGTCTTTGGTCATATGTGGATTGTAGTTTTCACTCTCACTCATTCACAGAAGGTCAAGTTAAATAATAGAAGGATGGAGCAATAATTTCTAAATCCAGTTGTTTATTTACTGCTTAAAGGTTTGAGCTAGCTTACTTAATGATTATCATGTTTACAATTGTATAATGTATATCAGTTAAAACATGTTCTGGCTAATTCAGTAATTAAGGAAATCCTTAACGTTTATAAAAATGTATTAGACCACGATTGTTTGTTGTTACTGTTGGGAATAGGAACTGTGGCGGTCACTAAAAGCAGTATGAACTTCCTGATGCGAGAGAACGGGACCGGCAACGCGCTAGTTCTGGTCGTCGGTGGAGCCCTTGAAGCACTGGAAGCGTTCCCAGGCAGATTTAACCTTAAACTAAACAAACGCAAGGGCTTCATCAAGTTGGCCCTGGAAACGGGGTAAGTATGGAAACCGGGTCAGGGTGGAAAGTTGAAATCTGAAGAAGTATGGAAACAGTATATAATATATTTCAGTTCTTGATAAGAATTAAAAACTAGCTAAGTGTAGGAATATTGCGTTTAAAGCTGCAGTGTTCTGGGATCAGAGTGGAAACTGGGTCAGATAGGAAATGGGGTCAGAGTTGAAATGGGGTCAAAGTGGAAATGAGACCAGACCAGAGTGGACCCTGGGTCAGAGTTGATATGGGTCCAATTTGGAAACTGGGTCAGAGTTGAAAATGGTGGAAATATTGTAAACATTGGAATATTAGAAACAGTTTGAATAATTTTCCAAGTAGAATTATGAAAGTAATAAATGTTTCTGTCTCATTGTCTGATGTTTTCATCTGTTGTAGGACATCCCTGGTACCAACCTTCTCTTTTGGCGAGCTTAATCTGTATCAACAGATGGAAAATCCTCCCGGCTCCTTCCTCCGTCGCCTCCAGAATATCATGACTAGTTATTTTGGGTTCTCTCCCCCTATCTTCCATGGACGTGGTGTTTTCAACTACACATACGGACTCATTCCCTATCGTCAACCGATCAATACAGTCAGTAAGTAATTAAGAGCCAACCAATCAGTATTTAAATAGTTCCGGATCAACCTATCACTTAAGTCATTATTCCAGAGTAAACTGATCAATGAAGTTGGTAATTCAGATCCAACCAATCATTAAGTAGTTAGAATAAACCAATTAGTAAGTAGTTACGGTCAACCAATCAGGAAGTAGTTAGAATCAACCAATCAGGAAGTAGTTAGAATCAACCAATCAGGAAGTAGTTAGAATCAACCAATCAGGAAGTAGTTTAGGATCAACCAATCAGTATTGGATCAAGTTCAAGTGTACACTTGGAAATGTTTGCCTTAATTAACTTTTGCCATTTTCACCCTCTGTAATGAGGGCAAACTTATCATGATCATAAATGTGAGTACACAGGTCACTAAACATATTAAAAACATGCTAAGAGTATGTGGTTTGTATATTAGTGAAGGGCAAATTTTTCACTGGGTGAATTATATTTTCAGGTCACAGTAAAACAAAGATACTGTAACCATACTTTTTCAACCACACTTAACTATGTCTTTCCTTCGAACGAAGGGAGACATATTGTATTAGTACTGGTTCTTGTCCTTCTTCTCCTGGTTCTGGTTCTTCTAATTGCAACTTGTCCGGGTCATAACTTTTAAAACGTTAAAGATATCTTGATGAAACTTGAGGTATGCATGCATTACTCACAGAAGGTGTTCAGTGCACTAGAATTAGGTCACTGTGACCTTCACCTCAAGGTTAAAGGTCAAATAAGTGCAACATTTTCAGTAAGTTCTGGTCCGGCCAGTTATTTTTTAACCGTTAAATATATCTTGAGTAAACTTAAAGTTTACCTGCATCACCCACAGAAGGTGTGCAGTGCACTGGAATAAGGTCTCGTGCATCACTATATACAGAGTTATTGCCCTTTTTTTTAATATCAAAGTTTGTCCGGAGCATAAGTTCCATGTTATTTCACCAACATTGACCAAACTTACCTATTCATATATCTTAGGTAGGCGGAATCTCTCGTACTGTAATCGGGTCTCGTGCCACACTTTATATAGAGTCATGGCCCTTTGTTAATTTTGTATACCCATGTTTGTCTATTGACTAATAAGAGGAGACATGTTTTTGTTCACAAAAATGTATGTACAGTGATTGTCTCCCTTTGCAGTTGGGGCTCCAATTGACGTGGAGATGGTGGATCAGCCCAATCAGTCTCAGATTGACCAACTTCACGCTAAGTACCTGGCAGCTCTTAGGCAACTCTTCGACACTCACAAAGAAAAGTATGGTGTGGATCCGTCCAATGAACTTCATTTCATGGATTAAGCTCAATTCATTACAAATACAAGTTCAATAATCCAAAAACTTTATTTCCAAGCAATTTAGACACTTTTTATAGTGATAATTCTTTGTTTTCTTTTCACTAGAAACCTTATTCTAATATGCTCATGCAGTTGCAGTATGGTTCATAATTACCATAAAAAGATGATTATCTTAATCAAAAAGCATATTGAGATATCAGGGTATGTGGTAATTTTCATTGATTAAAGGGTAATTTACAAGAAAATGGGTCTATTAAAAAAAACAATGGAAAAAATATGTTGTTCATCATTGAAGATTCCATTACGCATTGCATCCGAAAAATGGTGTTTTAAATTGTCACAAAAGTGATTGTTACTGGTTTTCCGCTTTTTAACAAGAAATATTTTTATTCTATGACTTATTTACAAGTTAACTTAGTTAAAATATTGTCACCTCGGATACCGGCCAAGATTACTGAGGTGAACACTGTCAATACTGATATCTTGTCAGAAGGCCTGTCTCAGTTATTTTTCAGCAATACTCCTAGACCAGCTGTAATAAATATTTTATCATGATGGAAGTATTGATTTATGACAAAAATCTTGCCATGCTCCAACTGATAATTATTGAAATGGGGTGTATGTTATGAACAGACTATATTTGTCTTTGTATATTTTTGTTTTGTTTGGATTCAAATATAATTCATTTAGTTTATTTTCTTAAATATGGTTAATTTGATTTTTTTTGTTTTTTTCCTTTTGCAACATAATACAATGGTAGCATTCATGACATAAATATAGGATCTTACATGAGTTTCCATTTCATATGAGATTTATGAAATGAGTCTAAGAATTTTTCAATAAGCGATCCTTTGGCGAGCTAAAATAAAAATTAGTGACAAGTTTCATACATTTCATATGAAATGAAAACGAGTGTAAGATCCTTTTTATCACATAATCAAGATTTGTGGCATTTATTGTGTAAAACGACAATTTTCATGCAACCTTGAAATGTAAAAAGCCGTCATTTTGACTACAATGTGTGAGTCTGTGATGTCATGTACTTGTCCTAGGCGTGACGTCATGATTGAAACTTTCAACCAATCACAGGGATGATAGGTCATATTACATGGGTTAATACGTAAAAAAATATGATTTATTACCCAATAGTCTATATAAATTATAATTAGTCATTTTTAGCTCACCTGGCACAAAGTGCCAAGTGAGCTTATGCCGTGGTGCGGCGTCCGTCGTCAGTCCGTCGTCCGTCCGTCCAGCGTCCGTCCGGCGTCAATATTTTACTTTAAACGACTTCTTCTTAATAACCGAAAGGCCTAGGGTGATGATATTTGGCCAGAAGTAAACTGGGATGAAGGGCTACCAAGTTTGTTCAAATAAATGACCTTCATCTATTTTCAAGGTCACAGGGGTCAAATATGTTAAAAACTTTAAACAACTTCTTCTCAATAACCAAACTGCCCAGGGAGATGATATTTGGTCAGTAGCATGCTAGGGTGAAGGGCTAC